GATGGGAATGTAGACCAACCAGTAAATCGAAAGCATTGCCTCTTGACTCAGCTCTCTCTTCACCACGACAGACTGGTGCAGCCCCCGCATCACTAAGCAGCACCAATCCGCCCATCAATTGGTGATGCTTGGTGATGAGGGAACAAGGCTCATGAATGGAAAGATACTTAAAATCCTCTACTTGGGCCAGGACCTCGTACAAAGCCGATAGCAGGCACTAAACCCCTTCCTTGCTATGACCTCTTATTTGGAGTCACTTAACCTCAACCTGACCACTTTACGTTCGTTTGCAGACTGCTCTGGCGAAAGCTGTAGGTCATGACCTGATGTAGCCAATAGGACCACATCATCTGCAAAAAGCAGAGAAGCGATTCTGAGAGCACCAAAGCAGATCCCTGAGCATCTTGGCTGGACCTAGAAATTATATTCATAAAGGTCTAACATAACGATACACCGCTCAAGTTCATATTGGAGGTGGATTTCCACCCAGTTGCATCCCTTCAAGTTTCACTCTCATTACTGACGTGAGCACTGAAGTCCCCCAACAGAACCTGTGAGCAGGACCACTCTGTAGTAGCCCCATCAAGGACTTCAAAAATGGTTGTGGTATAAACTACTGTTTGGTGCAGGAGCATTATTTTAATTATGTTGTGTGTGTTTTTTGTTCTTTTTGCCTCCTGCTCTCAATGATTTTGTTTGTCTTGTGCAGCACTTTGGCACAACCTGTTTGTTGTAAAGTGCTTTATAAATAAAGTTGACACTGACATTCCTAAAGGAACAGAAACTAAACTTGTGTAATGAATCAGTGCTGCTGAGAGAAAATAAGAAATCTTAAATGAAATTAGATACTGTTTTATAGCTTTGACAAAAACACACTTTAGCTATTGGCTAAAAAATGACTGCATAGAGTAGATAATGAACTGAAGCATTAGGCTTTGGTCCAGTGTCACTTAATGGCTGATTGGATAGTTTTCTATGTCCTTTTTTCCATAATTTGTCTTGTCTTGTTAAGACGATAGGCTGTAGGTAATTCACCATGCTAATGCAGCTGATAGGACTGGATTGAAAAGACGCTAAGGGTCAAAGATAAACTTTGAAAGGATCAAGAACACTTTAACACTGTAACACAAAGCTGGCTTCTTGGGAGCAAAACTTAAAAATACTTCATCCAGATTTCTGCATGTAAACCTAAACCTTGCCTTGTGCAAAATTCTGTCTCCTTATATCTCAATGTTTTCATTAAAAAGTTAACTAGCATTAGATTTACACATATTTTCTTCCAAATAATCACCTCTTAATTTCTTTTACAGATTAATTGAAATAAAAAGTATTACTTCTAACATTGAATGATGAGATGGTTTGTGGAAATGAGTGCGCTTGTATTACTATAATAGTGCCAGAAATTCTACAAATCTTGATAGTACCTATAGATTACCATTGGTCTCTCCCTGGTTTTAAGGACCTCACTATGTGCTGTAGTTGACTAGTTTTTAGTTTCCTATGTAAGCATGTGGTAAACATACAGATCTGACAAAACTTTCTGCTCCACTTGCACTAAAGCAGCCAGCCTCCTGAATGTTACACTGTATTTAACTTATTTAAATCATGGATGCAGATTACAAACTCAGCCTCATGCAGTGTAATTCCCTATTTTCTTGTCAAACTTTAAAGCCAAAAGGTCACTGGGACTGCTTAGTCATATGGTAAATGAGTGATGTAGGAGAGAAGAGGAAGGAGAAATATATTTTTCTTCCTTTTTCTTTATCACATCTAGTATCTCCAGTTAGATAATAGGTAAATACATTGAGTGTGTTAGGTATTCTCGGTGAGATTTGATTGTCTCCTTATCAGGAACGGCTCAGAGCTGCTTTTTTTATTATTATTATTATTATTATCGCTCACTGACAGCCGTGCTCCAAAAGGACAGAAAAGGACACGTTTTTGAAGGTTCAGATTCTTCACTTTTCAGTTTTTCAGTGCTTGAATTTGCAGAGTTTGGATAACAAAGCAGCCCACCAGATTTCTGCCTCGCGTACCAAACCAGCACTCTTTCCATGGCAACCGTATCAGTGGCAGTTTGTCAGCCGCCTGCCGTGTGCCGACCAAATGACAAATCAACAACACTGATTCCATCATACTTCCACTCAGAGGCCTTTTTATTCTTGTCATTGTGTCAGCGTGTTTCCTGTGTGTCTGCCTGCTGAGATAATGCATCGCTGGATCAAGAGAGAGCTGTGCAACTAAAACCAGAATGTTAGGGAATGCGAGATGGAAAAATGTCTCATCTTAATAAACAAAAGGTTTTATTTTAATATGACAAGAAAAAGGAATCTGGATTACATCAGTAACTGTGTTTCCATTGACCATAAAATTGTATTGAAATAATTCAATATCAAGTTTACACTTTTAAGGTCAAGAAATATGACTAAATTATGGAATTTTAAGAAAAAAAAACTTCTTTTAAAATTTTCTGTAAAATGTAATTTAAAAAATAATCATGCTGAGGAATAAATAAGTACATTCCCTGAAGTGATCATTACTTGGTATTTTCAAGGAGGTTTGCCCACCTGTTATGTTTGGTGCTTATTGAAGGAGACTAATCGCCATGCTGAGACAGAGAGAGCAACCTGAGGCATTCAGATTGAAGGATGTAGCAGTTTTTGAATGTGGTAACATTTTTAAAGAGGTCTAAAAGATGTAAAATGGACTTTTCCACTGTACAGGAAATAATCTGCAGCTGGAAGAAATTCAAAACAACTGCTAACAGGCTCATAAGCACAACACAACAACAAGGAAGCCATGTTGAAAGGTTCTGTTTAAGTGATTTATTGATACTATATTAGTAATCGGCCATGACTGTCATTAATGAAATCTTTACAAAATGTGGTTAACCACAGAATGGTGGTAGACATAACAGGTACAAATTTTGTTGAGAAAATTCTGAATTATATTTTCTCAGGTGCTTTTTTGTCTGATATGAAAACTGTTAACTGATCTGTAACATTTAAGTCTCACAAATAAGAACAACGTAAAGGGCACATACTTTGTGCTGTGCTGCCAGGTTAAACAAATGATGAGAACCATATGTCTGATGGAACTGGTTCATTTTCTTTATTTCAGTCTTCAGGAAAAAAGCAAACAAACATCTCAAATAATTGTCACACCTCCAAAGAAGAACTGAACAAACAACTTTCATTTTCTTTTGATGTTTGTTGAACTTAAAATGTTATTTCAGCTCTTGGAGCTTTTTGCTGTTTTCTGCCATTTACAGAAACAAATAAAGAAGCCATTTTCTTTATATATATATATATATAATCAAAGCCACACTAGATATTGGAGGTTGAGCCTTAATCTTATAATGTGGTAAATCCTGGTATTTCTGTTGACTCTGGAGCTTTACAGATAAGATGATTCATCGTTTTGCTGTAGAGTTTCAACCTTTAAAAAGGAAAAGAAAAAAGAAAAAAAGAGCAAACAAAAAGCAGAGCTCTGGTGCAAACATTTCCGACTTTATTGGGAGCCTCGGTGTCGACTCGCCTGAAATCGACCACTCAGCTCTAACTTCCAGAAGCTCTTCAGGCCCGCCTGACAATCACAGCGGCAGCTCATTAGCAGAGGAGCTGCTGATGTGAGACGACACTCAGACCAAACTGTTGACTGGGAGGAGGTGAGAATCACTGCAGAAGGAATCATTAAAGCTGCTGCCGACGGACTTACAGCTGAATATAAAAGAAACGTCGTAGGTGAGTTTCACTTACCGTTCGCCGACTAATTATGTGTTCTAAAACTGCAGGCGGGGAAATATTGTCTCCATGCTGACGCGGTAAAACGCACGAAGCCGCATGGCACTCGGCACTTCTACGTCTCCGGCTTAACAGGCTCTTTAAAGGCTTTAGTCGATCTCAGATGGGCTTGTAACACTCAAAGTAAAACCCACATTTTCCAGATTTACTGCTTATCTTTGCTGCTGCAACATTTCATGGTGCGCGCGCGTTCACACAGTTCTGAGTGCGCGCGGGAAGAACTGCTTTAAAGTTTAGTTTGAACTCCGGCAGGAGACTGAAGTTCTTTCCAGAGTTCTTCATGCATCTTTTTAATGAACATCTGCAAACAATTAACAATAAAAACACCCATGTCAGATTTACTAAATGATCATATTATAAAGAAAGAAAAACACAGCCAGATTAAACTCAAATATGTATATATATGAACTTTCCCATTTTCCTAGTGGGAAATCTGACTTGGGAGGGCATTCCAGTCTGACTGGGATGTAGGGATTTTCCTAGCCTAGTCAATGCCTTGCTGCGCAATTCAAATCTCACTTACAGTTCATTTGGACTTTCTCCCACTGATTTGGATTAGAATTTCAATCGGACCAATCAGTGAACAGAAGGAGGAATTGTGATGTCAATTTTCTCTGTAGTTTCAGCAATGGCAGCAGAGCAAGTTATAATGTCACTAATGTACCCAGAAAATATGAACAACAAACAAAAGAAAACCAAGACACTAAGGCTGTGTTCACTCTGCAGCCTGAAGTGACCCAATTCTGATTTTTTGTCAAATTGAACTTTTTTGCCGTGGCAAATATATACGACCTGTGAGTGTTCTCCAGTGTGAACAGGCAAACAACCTGAAAGTGTCCCACATGTGCAGTAGAGGTTAATAATGTCACGCATAAAGAATGAGCCAACCGCCATAAAGAAGTGGTGCTCAGAGGTAAACATGGATGCTAATGGTAGAGCATAGCTTACGATTTTGAAGTTGTTGTCCGACCAGAACCAGCACTAATCCTCATTACAGTCCGCCATGGTTGTTGTTTTTCTTCCAGCTGGCGCGGAAGAAAAGCAAGACGCTGAATAGTAACATTTGTCGAGTGTCAGTGAATGCGACCTGGACGTTGGGTCACATTGGAATCGGGTACATATCGGATATACAAGTGGCCTGGGTCGCATTTGAAAAAAATCTGACCTGTGTTGTTCAGACTGTCATGAAAAGATCAGACACAGGTCACATTATGTCAAAAAATTCGGAACTGGGTCACTTCAGGCTGCAGTGTGATCGCAGCGTGACACTAGAACAACATGATGTGAACGATGTGAATGTACATGACAGGAGAAACAAATACAGCAGAAACTATGAAACACAAATAACCCATAAGAATAACTAACTGCAAGCCAAAAACCCAAGCATCAAGGAACTATGACAAAGTTTGCTGCAGCACAACATGCACTAAATGGTGAGGCTGGGAATGCTGTGGCTGAGCTTTCACCCCTCTCTGTCAATCAATAAAACAGATTTCATAAATTGATTAGGAGCAAATTGTGCGTATTGATGTTGAAGCCTGTTTAAAGTATGAAAAATGACTGTGCTCCAGATGCCACCTGCGACCCTCCCTTTGTTTGGTGTTTAGTCTGATGGGCCCCCCTCTCAATGCCATTACCCCACCACATGATGGAACCCATAATTTTCTGCCTTTCTGATCAGGAACATTTAATTGTCCTTCAAAGAGCAACAACAAGCAGGTCTATAGATGCCCTTAAGTCCATCCAGACTGGCTGAGAAGACTCATTTAAAATGCATAAAAATTAATTAATGTTTTTTGCTGTATTTCTGCTTTGGATGCGGTGATGCCGGTGGCGGGTCACACTCGACTGTTTTGTTTTCCATGCATCTTCTTTGCAGCTGCCTACAGTTGAACTCCTCTTAAAGCTGCAGTGTGTAACTTTTTCAAACATATGGCTTTTACATTCGTTAAACTGTTACCATGTTGTGACAGAATATAATGAGACAGATGTCTGAAAAGATCAGTCTTGCCCTCCTCCTTCCTGAGCTGCTATTGATGTCTGAAGAAATGCCCTGACCAAAAATAACCAATCAGAGCCAGGAGGAGGGGCGTAACACTGACAATCATCTGCGTGTACACGCTGTTCAATGTGCTAACCGTGGAGAAACAACTTACCATTACAGGAAAACTGTTTATCCACAGTCATAGTCGCCATGAGAATTAGCATTAGCATTCATGGCAGGCTATGTTGGGATGAAGCAGCTGTAGTCTAGCAAAGAGCAGGAAGGGGCACGAGAGTAATTGACAGCACTAAGACCCTCCTCCTGGCTCTGATAGGTTGTTTCTGACTGAGTTGTGTATTTCTGCAGTTAGTACTGGAAAAGCCAGAGAACCTTGATCTTTTTTTCCACAATCTATGTCTTATACTGATATGACATCATGATAATTTTAGCAAATCTGTAAAAAACATATTTTCTATGTAATTTGCATACTGCAGCTTTACAGTCTTATGTCGCTATGGAAACACAAAGGGTTCAAACCAACCCCCAGCCCCTTCTTTCTCTACTCTCAATCCAATCTCCTCTCCCAGTGAAACCATTAAATTATCAATCCACAAACCCCTCAGGGTTCATATCTCCTCCCCATCTCTTAAATCTTCTCTCTGTCAATATTTACACTGCCTCTCATGGACCCACTCAGGTAATAGTGTCTTATTCCCAAAGCTCTGCATGGTGAAAACACACAAACACACGCACACACGCACGCACACACGCACACACACACACAGAGGCAGGTTGGGAACGAAAAGGCCATTCCATCTAAATGAGCCCCCATTTGGCTAACTGTTCCAGTCGGCACCTTCTTTTCCTCTTTGTGTGTCATCATCCATGTTCATGGCGCTCACTGAGCGGATGTACATGTGCCGCTCGTCGCATGTTTGCATGCTCCGCTGGTAGCTTCACCGTCTTCCCCTGTAATCTCATGCCTGAGAAGAGAGAAATTGAAAAAACTTGGAAGAGAAATCGCCTGTGGGAGGGAAATAAAAATCTTGTGATACGGATCTGCCATAAGTAAAGGAATGAGAATGACAGAAAAACACGTTTACTGTCTTACCAAAGTATACTCTGGAGCTTATTCACATTTTGTCACCATATAGCCACAAATTTTGATCTAGTCTAGCAGGATTTTATGTGATAGATGAACACAAAGCAACTCATATTTGTTGAAGGGAAATTCTGCATTTTTTTATATCGCAAATAATCTGAACTGGTTGTGATACCCTTAAGGGGCAGTATTATGTGTTCTCCAGGCACATATGTTATTTTGTGGCATAACCAAGTAACTGTATTGTTTGTATTAAAATGTTGCATAAAGCAAAAATTATTTAAGAGAAATTTGATTTCATAATTTGACACATTGAAATTGGGCATCTGTCTCTTTAAAGACCCCTGCTCTTTCCGAAACTCCGCCTTCAGGAAGTCATCACTACTAGTTTCTCCATTCAGCTGCTTTGGACTGAGAAGTAGCTCATGTAATGTTCACACTGGAAATAGTTGATTTTATATATTTAAAAGGATCCAATGATTAGTTGTAACAATAGACTTTATTTGAGAAATATTTATTGTATTTGTAAAAACAATACAGTAATAATATTGTAGACGGTTTAGTTTTTATACATTTTAATAAAACATTGTAACACAAACGTCACCATGTTGTTCATGCTGCAATGCATTCTGGGTAAATGAAGTCTAATGATCCAACTGCAGTAGCTCCGTCCAGTTAAAACAGCCATGAGTAACGTCATTAAGCCTTTTTAGTTTGAACCGGAGCGCATTCAAATTATGGGAATGTAGAAATCACCAGACATAACGAAAATGAGGAGGACCAAACAGAGGAAGCGGAAGAGTTGGACACAGGATCTGGTGATTTGCTGCTGCTGCTGCCTTCAGCTTCGTAAATGAAATGATGAGTGACACGTACGTCTGGTCAGAGAGTGTGTGATCCGGTAAGTATTTCTATAGCTCTATGTCCGGTCAGGGCTTCATCCGGGGTAGCAGTAGTGCCACAGAGCTTTGTTTTCATTTAAAAGAGCCTCTGATGCTCTTTTGTTTCTCCCAACGTTTTTCGTTCCGGAGGCAGTCCGGAACGATAAAGTCTGCTATGGCATTTATTTGTAGCTTGTTAAAGTAACAATCACCTGTTAGAGCCTTTGTCAGTTTTGCTCGTACAAATGACAAAGTCTTATGGAGAGAAATGATGAGATGACAAATGTCCCTTCGGAAGTTGTGTTCAGTTCGTGTTCTGTCAGATCAGCATACGTTATAAGACTGCGCTCTTTTTTTTCATGTGGGGAGTGATCAAGATTTACCTCAGGTTTTTTTGTGTGTTTGTTTTAAAAACAGCTAACAGTGACAAAGCTTGGCCTTATCTAAAATTACACCAGGTAAACATAATATGACAAACAACTCACATAACGTTAGCCTTCCTGTGTTTATTCTGTGGACTCCAGTACAGAATGGACCAAAACGTATCATCAACCCATCGGGTGAAAAAATAGCGACATCAAGCAGATGAATATACATAACTTTTTCTGACTGTGGTCCACAGTAACTACATATAAACAATCAAACTAATCAAATTACAATTCGCCTGTTGTGGCCTGAACGTCCTCCTGGTGCACATAGACCTGAATCAAGCAGGCGCTTCAGACAGGCTGGTTCCCTATATTGTCATGAGATTTTCAAACAGATTACTTTTCACCGAGTTTTGATGTTGATGTGGAGACTGAATCCACACTCTGGAAACTGTAAATACAAGCACCACTTCAGCCACAATTTTGAAATAGGGGAACATTTTTTTCCAATTAAAGCAATGAAAAGTCAGCAAGCGTCACTGAACAAGGGGTTTCCTGATACTGCAAGCGATCGCTTCAGTAGAGTTGTGACTTGGAAAGGAATTCAGCTCAATGAAAAAGTTGGAACCTCTGATTTTAGACTAAGGATGCATTCACACCAGGCCTATTTATTCCACTTTAATCCAACTCTAGCTTGTCTGTCTTGAAAGTCAGGTTCATTTAGAGAGGTGAGAATGCACAATCGAACTCTGATGCACACCAACAAAGCAAAATCTGATCTGTACAGACCTCAGTCTCAGTTTGGCTGAGCTGAACTCAACTGGTGTGGTTTGAATACATATACGAATGCCAAGCAGACCATAGACTGTGGCAAAGCAGGAAGAGGACTATAGCACAGGGCATTTTGGGTAAATGCAACCAAAACAAACACGAGTCTACCGCTAACAGGAGAAATGCTGTTTTACTAAAAACAAAAGAGAAATTCTACAACTGCCAAAATCTGATGACTCTCTTTTTTGTTTACATTTTGTGAAGGAGGAAGTTGTGCTCATGTCTTCTTCAGATTATTTCATGTTGTTTCCGTCTCACCACAGGTGAGGGGAGAAACAGTTTTATCAAACAGTTTGATTCAATTGACAGTGCAGTATGATAGATGAAAATGTATCAAATTTTGAAAATTTTGGTGCCCAATTGAACTGAGTCTACTGGACCATCAGATAGGAAAACACCCTTAGTCTGAACTGAATTCACAGAAACCATTGAAGCCCATCAGTGTCACTACAGTAGTCAAGAAGACTCAACTTGCTTCAACCACAACACATGCAAATTAACAACTGCAATAGCAGTGTTTGTCTGGCATGCACATTCAGGAAACAACAGGAGGGTTTGGCAAACAGTTCATTTGTCTCAGAGACTTCTGTCTTCATAGTATTCTATTATTTTCATTCTTTATCCTCAATACGGCTTGGTTTTTTGTTAGTTTGTTTTTCTCTGACCTTCTTCATACAATGTGCTCTCTGAAGAGCAGAGGCTTTTTATCCTTGCTGATCAAAGCATTTCTATATGCACAGTGAAAGAATCCTCACCTTTTTCCTGCCCTGCTCCCACAAATAGGCTGCAAGGGGAATCTCTGCACCTGTTCTCTCTGCGCCTAAGGCAAAGAGCTTACAAGGGAAATGTTCAGACTGCAATTAGTCACTGCAAATATAAATAAAGAACCCAAACAATGAACAAGGAAAGTTGTTTAAAACTAAAAAAAAAGAAAGCCAACCAGACTTGTGTATTTTTCAGGAAATGCTTCCAGGAGGCTTTCTTTATGTATTTTAATGAGTCCATTGGTCACATGAATGATATAGTTTTCTTAGATTTGATTTGCATATCTTTTACATATTTGCACAAATCAGTGTAATGGTAGATGTCAAGTTTATTAGTATTGCACATTTCAACAAGGCAATTCAAATTTCTTCTTCATCATAAAAACATGCAGTGACCAGTTTCAAAACAAGCAAACATTACAATTTGTCAAACGTATCATGAAAATCATCAAGGAAATATAAATCAAATATATTAATCAGTGTTCCAGTTAGTATGAATCAAATACAACTCTGAACAGGTGGGTGTTTAGACTTGAGTTAAAGGAGATCAGTGTTTCAGTAGTTTTGCAGTTTTTTCTAGTTTTGTTCCAGATTAGAGGACCATAAAAACTCAATGCTGCTTCTGCAATAGTCAACAACCTGCTGATAATGTCAAACCTATCACATAAGATATTTTATCATTTTTAAAAGCAAATGATGAAGTAGTGCTGCAGTATTTTTTCAAATAAGTTTCTTCACTCAAACAGTATCAATGACTTTAGTTACAAGATTACTGCATGTGTTAAAGATGCTTCATAAAGCAGAATTTTAATCATTTGTCATGCAAGAAGCCAGAGTTTGTCATGGGAAGCTTATGAAACACAAGATTTAAAATATTTTCTTTCCCTAAAGCTCCACAGCCAGTGCCATCACATATCAAAATCAAACCTTTACATGATGTCAGTCCCAGAACAATACATCTATAAGAGACAAACTATGTTTTTCAAAAGTATTCATACTCCGTTACATGTTTTTTCACTGTGAAACTACAAACTGTCATGTAATTTTTGGTGGACTTATGTGACATTGCAAAGTAGTAAAAACTGAAATGGAGGGAAAGACACTTTTTTGACTATTATAAAATCTACAGGAAGCAGTGCTGGCGAGAGGAAAGACGATGCCTCATTTTCATTGGTCCATTTTCAGTAGATTTTTATTTATGCTGCAGCTTATCTCCATCAGCAGAGCATGCTGCGGATGCTAATGCTAGTTAGCATGACCACCAATAACAGCAGATAAATGGTTTTCCTGGAATGGAAAGTTGTTTCTCTGTCATTGGCACATTTAGCAGTGAGTACATGAAGTTGATTGACAGCATTAAGACCCTCCTCTTGGCTCTGATTGGTTGTTTTTGGTCGTGAGCTTTGCTGACTGTTTTTCTTCAGTCAGCAGTAGTTGCTCAATGAGGAGGTGGAGAAGATTATCTGTAATGTTAGTTAAAACATGGTGATAGCAAATATGTAACTAAGATATTCTTATTACATTCTTAAGCTTTAAAGCTTCTTGCAACATAATAACATTTAAACTACTTCAATATGTATGAATTCAGTTGCTTGGACTTTTCACATGGAAGAGAATGATGAACATGTATAAGAACAGAAAGGCCAGACCAAACGGTTTGAGATGACGACTTGTTTTTTTTTTTTTTTCTCTCTCTTCAAGCGTCTTTATTTCTACCCCTTTTCAATTTTTCAATTACAGTTTCTCTCCGGCTGCACTAATGTGATCCAAAACCTACTGATGCCTGAGAAAATGATGATGCGGCCCGAAACCAAATGAGAGCAGACACTCCGTCGGAGAGCGCCCCACATTGAACATCGACTTGTCAGTGTATCTATTAAAACACGGCGGTCGACAACTACTTTTCATCTCCCTGAAATTGCGGCTGCTGTCAAAAGTGTCAGGACAAAGGTATTTTCTTAGGCTGCAGGGAACGTGACAAAACTCCCCTGCCGGCGTCATGATGAGCTGTGTGATGGCCTCGCTGAGAGCGGTCCCAGTTAATTACCTGAGGAAGTCTGCATCGCTCTGATGTGGCTTTGTGACAAGGCTGAAGGGTTTTCAGAAGCTGCAGGCGCTGCGGATAGCCCTGGAGCTGCTGCTGCTGCAGCATTGTGACCATTTGAAACCAGGTTAATTAAACATGCTGCCATCCTGCCAGGGAGAAAACACCTGATGAGCAATAATCTGATCACAAATCAATAATTAGACTTGTTTCTACTGAGGCAGGAGCAGGGCCAGTGACTGACTTCATTCTGCTTACTTCTGGGCTCAGTCTGACAGGCTGACAAGAATAAGAGGAGGAATCAGAGGGTCAAATCCATAAATCTGGAGTTCATTTTATGCTTGTGCTTTTGTAAGTTTATGAACTCTTTGTAAAATGTCAAATTATTCCAGAGTTTAAAAAGTGAGGTCACAATAACTCATCTCAAATCCATTTCTGTAATATATTTCTCCTGTAGTGTTCAACTGAAAACAAAGAAATCTCTTAGAGGGAAACATAAAGGTGTAATAACCAGGTTGTATAAGTGTGAACAATCTTTAAATCAGTTGATTCTTATGTTTGGGCTCTGCCAGCATCACACAGGCTGTAAGACATTTCACTCTCTCTCTCTAGGGATGTGCAAACTTTACAACTCAGATGTTTCTGCCCTCAGTCCACCTCAATAAAACTTGGTCACTGCAGCAAATTTTACATGATCCTTTGAAAAGTTTATGATAAATATACTGTACAAGAAATCTACCATAAGAAATGTTATTTATATAGAATCACCAATTTATTTGTGTTATTAGGTTTTAAAATAAAGAAGCACTTTTACAAAATGAGAATGGAATTTTTTTTTTTTTCTGAGACGTTGACTTTTGCAGGAAATGATGTTAAAAAAAATTCTTTTGTGGAAATTCAGAGCAACTGAAAACTAAAATCTGGTGCAACCTGCAATTGTTATTTTATGGTTAAACTAAAATCTGACTTTTTAAGTTGCCTTTAAAGTAATGGCTTCTTCCTCTGTCAGTGGCTTTTCAGCCTGTGTTGGTACAGAACTTGCTTCACTGTGGATAATGACCCTCTTGACAGCTTCAGACAGCGTTCTAGCAAGGGATTTTTGTTTTCTTCTATATTAGCATCTTATTGTTTAAACTTACAAATGTGCCAAAGTTAGGCATCTAGAAATTGTATGTAGGGATGAACTAGACATGAGGAACACCACAATTCTCTTCCTGAAATCTTTCCTGATTTATTTTGATTTTTCTATGATGTTACACATTCAGAGCTTACAAAG